AGTCTTACCCCGGTGCCGTTGTCGCACACCACCACCTTGTTGCTCTCCATTCGAGCCGTCCTCCCTCGCCAACCTCCGGAGGGTGTGTTCGGCTTTTGGTTGAGGCCTCTCGATTGGTGAATATTATTTTTTTCGAAAATGATCCAACACCTGTCCCATACCATACCATTGTTTTCTTGAACCGTCGGATTGGCTATCCAAACGAATCCAGGCCGTTGGATCTTTAGACCGTCAGATTGATCGAGTATGATGTGACAACCAATGAATAGTGCCTTTTGTCAGCGATGAGGCGCCTAGCGCCTTCGGTCATCATGGTGTTGTACCAGCCGTCTTGATACACCTCCCCCGCACGTCGACGCCCCACTGTCAAAGCCCATGCCTCCCCTTTTCCCAGGCGGCCTCATGTGCTTCACGGGCCGCCTGGTACGTGGCTTCCTCCTCTGTCATCTTCTTCTTTAATGCAACTTGCCTGACTTTCTCAGCCGGCGACAGGGACTTTCACAAAGCAAGATTGTACTGGTCTCAAAACCAATTCAAAGTTGGAGGCTCCTGCGCAACCTCGTCTGGTGGCGCGTAGGGGTCCTCCTCGTCGCTGCTATGCGCCTTGACGTCCTCGCGGGGCGGCGCCTCCTCCTCGTCGCGTGGGCAGACCGGGGGCGCCATGGCAGAGTTTGGTGAGAGAGAGGGGGGACGAGCGAGGAGGGAATGTAGATGAGAATGCAAGCGGGACAATGTGGATGGAGTCCCATTATTAGATTGTGGAGCAAAATGAAGGCATATCGGGGCATTTGATCTTTGGACCGTCGGATTGGCTGTCCAAGCGAATCCAAACCATTGGATCTTTAAATGGTGCGATCCTGACCGTTGGATTGAGTATGATGTGACAACCAATGAATAATGCCCTTTGTCAGCGATGAGGCGCCTAGCGCCTTCGGCCGTCATGGCATTGTACCGGTCGTCTTCGTACACCTCCTCTGCATGTCGACGTGCCCACCGCCAAAGCTCATGCCTCCCCTTTTCCCAGGTGGCCTCATGTGCTTCACGGGCCACCCGGTACCTGGCTTTCTCCTCCACCATCTCCTTCTTTAACGCAACTTGCCTGGCTTTCTCAGCCGGTAACGAGGACTTCCACAGAGCAGGATTGTACTGACCCCAAAATCAAAATCCAAAGTTGGGGGCTCCAGCACAACCTCGTCTGGTGGCGCGTAGGGGTCCTCCTCGTCGCTTGTATGCGCCTTGACATCCACTACAAGAAATATGTCAACTTGTGACCTTCTGTCGGTGACCCTGGAAGAATTGGTCATAAATTTATGACCATTTTAGACCAATTGGTCAAAAGCTGTTCGGGGGCCTCCAAACCCTGAACCATAACGACCATTTTGGTCAGAAAGGTCATAATTTCATTAGAGGAAATGGTCGTAAAGCGGGCAGCACTGTCCACTGCCTCACGCCTAGCTGATAACGACCAATATAAAATGGTCACTACACTTGAGTTCGAATGCATTAGGATGATTAGGCAGCCACCTCAGTAACCTCGCTTATGTGTCATTGGCTAGGTGTTATTTTTGCTTACATGTTTATATTCAACAGATAGGCGAGGCCCATTTGACAGCAGGAGGGCACACACTGACAAGCGGGGCCCATTTGACATGCGGGACCAAGCGCTTAATTTGCCCAAAAAATATGCTTGGGGCGGGACTCGAACCCACGACCTCGCGTTGGCTTCGCTTGCTCGCTACCGCGGGGCTAGAGAGGGACAGTTGCTCATGTATGGGAATTTATGTATACATTATATAAAACTACGACTCTCTCGTATCATTGACAAGTGGGACCTTCCAACCAGGTGGCATCGAATAGAGCAACACTTAGCGTTTTTCTAGGTCTTCCGACCAGGTGGCGGCGGGCGACGGCGGGCGCGGGGGCCGGCAGCAGAAGCAACCGGCAGGGGCGGGGGCGGTGACCGGCGGTGGTGTTGTCGGGGCCGCTCGCCTCGACCACGACAGGAACGGCGACCTCGCCGCTCGCCTCGCCCACGACAGGAATGGCGACCTCGCCGCTCGCCTCGCCCACGCATGGGGGACTCGCCGCCGTCGAGCATGGGGGTCATCGCCGCCGCAAGCAGACCTCGCCCACATATGCACCCCTCTCCTTCCCCCCCTCTCCTCTCCCCCCATGCCTCAGATTTGCCTGTGTTGCGCCTACTGATGAACACTAGCTAGTTTGTCAACACTAGCTGAGGGGCAGGGGAGAAAGAGAGAGATAATTTAAGTTTTATCATCTTACTAGCCGAAGGGGCAGGGTAGAAAGAGAGAGGGATGAACACTAGCTATTATTGTTACATCGTTTTGAAATGGAAAGGAAAGGGGAAGGAGGAGATTCAATATGTGGAGGAGCTTAATTTGAAATGAGAATCCATCAGCTACAGCTAGAGCTCAATCTGATGGATGGATGCTACAACTTGCTTCATAAGATGGATGCAGTTGGAGCCTAATCTCTTTGTGGATATCCTCTTTACAGGAACCACATATGTTTCTTAGTGCAGCTCTGCCTGATCTATGTTAGGTTTTACAAATTTTTGTTAGCTTTTCTTTTATCCCATGTGAAATATGTATTTCCTATGAACTGCTTTTTATTGCTCCCATGTGAAATCAGTAAACCATGTGAACTAGACTAAAGTAGTGTGAAATTGGAAATAGCTCAATGTTGGGTGCATATCTTATTTTCTGGCAGTTAGCATATAAAGTTAGGCAGCTAGCATATAAAGTTGAGTGCCTACCTTATTTTCTGGATTTTTAGCTGCCATTATTGTCATCCATTTTCATTGATTAATGTTGATGCACTTAGATTGATTTGCTAAGTTGGACAGAAGCTGGATTAGAAAAGGAGCTAGAAAGTTTTCGAAAGAACATATGAAAGGAGTTGATGATTTCATGGCATTTGTTCGGGCAAATTTTGCCAAAGATGATCACATTCTTTGTCCATGCTGCGAATGCCTCAACCATTCAAGAATGGCTCAAGGAAGAGTGGAAGATCATCTGCTTCTTAATGGGATGTCCAGCACATATGATAGATGGATATATCATGGAGAACCTTTAGTGGACAACCTCAACATTTCGAAGGTGATACAGAGGCCCCTCATATGATGGGTGGTGGTGATGCTGGCATTGATTTCATGGAAAAGGTTTTGCGAGATAATGCTGGTTTGGAGGAAGAGGATGGGCATGAATATGATAGGATTCCTGACCTATTGAAGGATCTGTACGATGCTGAAGATCGTGCTGATGGACAGAAGTCGATGTTTGCTGAGGTGTTAGAGAAGGCAAAGCGCGCAGCTCATGAAGGGGGTAAATTTTCAATATTTACCTTCACCATGAAGTTACTCCACATCAAGTCTTTCTATCGGATTAGCAATGCTGCATTCAACGCAATACTCCGCCTTTTGAGCTTGCAATTCCCTCATAGCTGTGTTCCCAGGTCTTATGATGAAGCATTGAGCATAATCCGCAGGCTGGGCCTAGGTTATGTTTCAATACATGTGTGCCCAAATAACTGTGTCTTGTTTTGAAAGGATTTAGCAAAGCATGACAACGGTCCAAAATGCAATGCCTCTAGGTGGAAAGATGCTGATGGGAAGAAGTAAATACCAGAGAAAGTACTGAGGCACTTTCCGTTGATACCAAGGCTGCAGCGGATGTTTATCTCGAAGAAATCATCGCTGGAGGTACAATGGCACAAGCTGAAGCGGCAACTTGTGGACAATGAGCTGAGCCATCTAGCGGACGGAGAGGCATGGAAAGAGTTTGACAGTAAACATGTAAATTTTGCTGCAAATCCAAGGAACATAAAACTTGGCATTGCCACAGATGGCTTTAATCCGTTTGGGAACATGAGCACGTCTTATAGCATGTGGCCCATCTTTGTGGTGCCGTACAACCTTCCACCATGGGCATGCATGGATCAGTCCAACTTCATGATGTTGTTGCTTATCCCGGGTCCAGAGTCTCCAGGAAAGGATTTTGATGTCTTTATGGAGCCCCTCGTAGAAGAACTGCTCCAGCTCTGGACTGGTGTACCTACATACGATGCCTTGAGTCGGAAAGAAAAGTCCAATCTATGTGCTGCAATCATATGGTCCATCCATGATTTCCCGGCGCTGCACACTCTGTCTGGGAGGATCACAGCGGGTTATCAGGCCTGTGTCCATTATGACAAAGACCCTTGCTCAAAGAGAATAAGGAGCAAGATCTGCTATATTGGGCACCACCACTTTCTTCCCCGAAACCATCGCTGGTGAAGAAGCAAAGATTTTAATGGTGAAAATGAAACCCGTCACAAGCCAGCTGAATTCACTAAATAAGAGCTAGAGCAGCAACTTGAAAAGGTGAAAGATTTGAGACCAGGAAAGCTTGTGAAGAAAAGAAAGTGTGAGGAAGGTCAATGTTGGGACCGGAGGTCTTGTTTGTGGAACTTGCCATACTGGGTTGATATGAAATTAAGGCATAATCTCAATGTAATGCACATTGAGAAAAACACATGCGAGAATCTGCTAGGGACGTTTCTGAACATTGAAGGGAAGACAAAGGATACGGTTAGTTCTAGGCTTGATTGGAGGACATGGGCATAAGAGAAGATTTGCATCTACAGCACAATGAAGATGAAGATTCATTTGAAATGCCACGAGCATGGTATACAATGAGTAAATAACAAAAGCTTGCATTCTGTGAATTCCTAAGAGCGATGAAATTTCCAGATGGTTATGCCGCTAACCTAGCAAAGTGTGTTACTTCTGATGGATCCAAGCTTTCAGTACTGAAAACCCATGATTGTCACATCCTCCTCCAAAGGATTTTACCGGCAGGCCTACGAGGAATCATGGACAAGGATATATATGAAGCAGTTGCTGAGCTGGGAAATTTCTTTAGAGAATTGTGCTACAAAATACTCAAGTTAACTGTCTTGGAAAGACTTGAAAAAGAAATCCCAATTATTCTTTGCAAGCTCGAGAAGATTTTGCCTCCAGTTTTCTTCATTGTGATGGTCCATTTGGCGGTGCACTTACCAAAAAAGGCAATGCTTGAGGCCCTGTGCAATATGGTTGGATGTACCCAATTGAAAGAAGGTTGCTTACTTGTAAGCGTTATGTGCGAAACACGGCAAGACCTGA